GGAGGGGGTGAAGGGAGGGCAAGGGAAGGGAAAAAAAATAAGAACCAAGATACTCATGTAAGGGTACAAGATCCCAATGACGAATGTAACTGTATTTTATACCTAAAATGTACCGATAAACTTAATGAAAAAAAAAAAAAACAAATAGGAATCTGGATTACATCCCTTGATCTAGGGTAATTTGTAACAATGTGTGTCTGTTTTTAATTATAGACATATAAGCCAGTACCTCTTGACTCTTTTTGTTGTCTTGTTTTACTTCCTCAACATCATTGAATGTCTATTAATAGGTGTGAACCTTCTCTGAAAAAAATATGCATACACACAAATTTTGCATAAAATTTCAGTAAGTTAATGGGCTCTGAAAAGCCCATTTGTTGGGTCTGGGCTAAGAGATCTGACCTAAATAATTCTTATTGGCCTTCCTATTCAACAAATGTGCATCCAGATATTAGAGATGTAGGGAGAGAGAAAGGGAAAGAGAGAGAATGCATTGGTGAGTCCCAGCTCATATGGTGTTTATAGACTTTTCTTGACCTCTTGCCTTTATTATTTTTTCTTACTATCCTACTTAGTTTTTATTCTTTCTGCATTCTTTTTCTCTTGCCTACAGCTTAGGCCTGTGACTAATTTCTTTATGTAGAATAATAACTCTGGAAAACTGTAAAATTTATCTTTGAGGGATTCTCTTCCATTACCACAATGAATGTTCTTTTCACTATTAGCATAATAAATCGTCCCTATGCATCAGTAGCCTGTGAAGCTAACTTCAACAACTGTTGAGAAATTTTCAAGTTTCAAATCCATCTTTCTTTTTGTGCTTCCTCTTAAAGCTAATACTTACCATGAGTAGTTTTCAACCTTTTTCTAAACATCAGGAATATTTATGTAATTTTGAGAAATAGAAGTTCAGCTCACTTTCAAAGGTCTGACACTACATTAATTTTTCTAGCTATCAGATAGTACCTTCTATAAACTTTAAAGTGTAGCTTTGGTTTATATTATATTTTAACGTCATGGGGCATTTATTCATACAATATAATCAAATATTTTAAGTATGTATGATATGCTAAACATTGACAGTGAATATGCAGAAAACAAAGATTAAAAGACATTATTTCAACCACAACAAAAATCCAAATGCATGGCTGCATTCACTTGTAATCCCAGCACTCAGAAAGCTGAGGCAGGAGAATGGCCACAAGGTCAAAGCCAGCTTGGGCTACATAGTGAGACCTTGTGTCAAAAAAACAGAAACAAACAATAAAGACATTGTTTCTATATGATCTTTATATCCTTGAACCAGAAAGTGGTCTTTCTCTTGGAAATCATAGAAACAGAGAATACAGTGGTGTTGAACAGAGCCTGTGATTGTTGGGGGGTGCTGGAAGAGAAACTGACTGGGAAGATATTAGTAAAAGGATACAAAATTTCAATGAGGTGGAATAAATTCAAGAGCTCTATTATACAACATAGTAGTTATAGTTAATTACAATGTATTTTATTCTTGAAAATTTCCAGAAGAGTAGAGTAAATGTTCTAATCACAAAAAAGTGAGATAATGATGTTAATTAGCTTGATTTTATCATTTTTATTATACTTTATAAGTAAATAAAATATAATATATATTTTATTTTTAGGACTATAAGAATAATATTGCCAAACTTGTACATGAAATGAAAATCAAAGAGGAAGAACATAAGATAGAAATAAGCAAACTTTATCAAGATATGCAGAAAAAAGGTAAGATTTTTATTTTTTACTTACTGAGTTCTATGGCATCATGGAACAATTAAAAGGTACATATAAATTTTCTGAGCAATAGCTAGTATTCTTGAATGAATACTGCCTTAATTTAGGTTTTATGCATTGCCACATATTAATCTGATATAAATATATCAGTTAGTTAACAGCAAAATGCAAATTAAAGCTACAATGAAATACCGTCAAAAAAAAAGAAATACCACCTTAAACCTTTAAAAACAACTACAGTAATAAAAACTATCAGTGCCAAGTGTTGATGAGAATGTGGAACAACTGAAACTCTCGTGCACTGTTGTTGAGACTATAAAATGGCACAGACTCTTTTAAAAATGTTAATTCCTTTTAAAATTAAAGAACTAGCATGTTAATTTGAGTCCTCTGAGAAGCAGAAGCTAAGACTTGATTAGACACTTGTGTTGATCAGCTTCATGTCACTGAGACCTAACACCCAATACCCAGAATTTAAAGGAGGAAAAGTTTAATTTAGCTCTAATTTAGCTCATGGTTTGAGGAGAGTCCATTATGGTCGGCAGTCTTCAAGGCAGAAACTTCACGGCAGAAGGTTTGGCAGAGCATAGTTGCTCAGTTCTTGGTGGCCAGGTAGCAAAGCAGAGGAACAGTACCAGGGAGGAAAGGGTGAGGGACCATATACAGTCCTCAAAGCCACAGTCCATGACTCACCCAGATACAACCAGAAACGTGCCTTACTAATCGGCTGTCTGTTAATCTACTGAAATTGATAGAACAGCATTAATGATCACAACATTCAAGAGATTTGCTGGGGAAAGACATTTATGAGGGCAGATAGAGAGGGAACTGGAAGAGTCTGGATGAGCTCTCAGTCTCTAATACAGATTTCACCTCTGTGAAGAAGAAACGGAAGAAATTTTGAGTAGGAACAGTCTTTGACCATGACACATTTCTAAGAAATTTTCAGCAAAGTTGAGCCAAAGTTGCTCATGAAAAGAGTTCTGCAACTCGCAGGAACGAGCTTGCCTTACTATGTCTACCAAGCCCACTCGTCTAGGAGAAGCTTTTGGGAATAATAATAATAAAGGGCTGGGGATATAGTTCAGCCTAGCATGTGCAAGGCCCTGGGTTCAATCCCAGTACCACAGGGGGAAAAATATAGCATTATAATAATGAAAGAAGCTGGATTTAAAGGGGTACATATGGTGTGACTCTGTTTATATGACTTTCTTAAAAAGAGAAATTTAGATCAATGTTTTCCAGTATATGAAGAGATGAATTGCAAAGGAGTACAAATACTCTGTTTCAAGTAATGGAACAATTCTATTTCCTGGTTGTGGTAATGAATTATATTTTCATATATGTTTGTCAAAGTTCATCAAACTATATACCTTAACAAAGAATATTGCTATATATGAATTGTGTTCTAATAAACCTGACTTTAAAAATAAAATAACCTAAGGAATGTCAATTATAAAAATGTTTTTAAAGGAAATAAAGATCCAATTATGATCCAGATAGTGGCGTTATCAATTATAGATTTTATAATCCTGGTTAACATAATCAATAAATTTAAAACTCAGTGGGGAATTTTGATGGAGAACTAGAAACTCTTAACCATGAAATACATGGAAAAGTGAAAATAATAGAATCACTGAAAATAAAATTTCACTGTATTGGTTTAGTAGCCAATGAAATAAAACTGAAAGTAAAATTAGTAAATTTAAGGCTAGATCAGAAGAAAAGGGAAGGAAAGGCAAGAAGATGAGACAGAAAAAAAGCATATGGACACAATGAAGTGGTGAAGTCTTTGGAAGGCTGTGTCTTCATCTAGTGTCAAGCCTGAAGTTGCTGCGGTCAGAAAGACCTACAGTCAGAAACAAAAGATAGGATTGGGTCGAGTGGTGTCTGGAGGGCCTCTGAGCGGGCTTTCAATGAGTCAGAAGAGGGATGTCTGCACCATGTTGAGACAAGCGAACCATGGCACCGAGAGCAAGAAAATACTCCTTTCATTGAAAACATTTTACCTGTCAAGAGGAACAGTATTTTTTCCCATGCTGAGCTCTGAACTATTCACCCTGACCTACAGAGCTCTTGCCAGCCAGCTATGCAAAGACTATGAAAATGATGAAGATGTGAATAAACAGCTGAACAAAATGGGCTATAACAGGAGTCTGACTGAAGATTTCTTGGCATGGTCAAATGTTGGGAGATGTCATGACTTTCGGGAAACTGCAGATGTCATTGCCAAGGTGCTGTTCAATATGTACTTGGGCATTGCTCCAAGCATCACTAACTGGAGCCCAGCTGGTGACAAATTCTCCCTCGTTTAGGAAAATAACCCCTTGGTGGACTTTGTGGAACTTCCTGATAACCACTCATCCCTTATTTATTCCAACCTCTTGTGTGGGGTATTTCGAGGAGCCTTGGAGATGGTCCAGATGGCAGTGGAGGCCAAGTTTGTCCAGGGCACCCTGAAAGGAGATGGTGTAACAGAAATCCAGATGAAGTTCATCAGGAGAATCAAAGACAATCTCCCAGCTGGAGAATGACCGTCCCAGGACTCGGGAGTAGCCAGCAAGAGTACTTGTTGGAGTCGGAAAGGCTCAGTGCCCTCTGGCTCTAGAACTCAGTGACTCTAACATGGATGCTATATATTCTAACCTTGTTTCCATTTTCCATGCTAATAAAGAGCAGACCGATACAGTCCATTTTCCCTACAAGTATGCACATTCAGAAGGGGAATTCTTTGTTCCCTTTCCCTTAAAATGGGCTGGATGCAATGATCCTTGGTTGGTCTAGAAAGAGCTCAAAGCTTTTTACACTCCTGCGTGACTTTTCCAAACCATACCTACTTTGACACCCTTAAGAGACAAGCCTGAGCTGGTCATGGTTGCTCATGCCTGTAATCCCAACACTGTGGGAGGCTGAGGCAGGAGGGTCACAAGTTTGAGCCCAGTCTGAGCAGTTTAGCAATTTAGTGAGACCCTGCCTCAAAATGATAAATAAAAAGGGCTGTGGGTATAACTCAGTGTGAAGGCTCTGGTTCCAATCCCCTGTATTGAAAAAAAAAAAAAAAAAAGAGAGTGACAAGCCTGGCACATTCACTCTTAAGCCTTCATAAAGCTCTTAGCAAATGGCTATAGGGAATCTGCGGCTTGGGGTTGAAGGGCTGGGAGAGAGTGGGTAGGAATCACTAGCTGTAATGTGATAATCTGTAGAGTTTGGCAGGATATGGGAGCCAGTCATGTCGGAAACATTGGTTTCTGGAAACCCTGCTGTTTGGAGGCAGTATCTCCTCTTTTTACAGAGGGTTCATCCTTTTTTCTTACAGATTCTTCAATAAAGACACATTTTGAGTGAAAAAAAGAAACAAAAGCTAGACGTGAAATGAGAAATTCCCTTATTTTTGCAATTTGTAGACTAATTGACACTTTTCTCTTTAAAATCAAAAATTTCCTTGATGTTTCCGTCCTAGATGGAGTGTTGTTGTTAAATAAGAAAGAGAAAATTTGATGACCCATGCAGCCATAACGTGAACCTGAGAGAAGCCTGATCATATAGCAGAGTCTTGCTATAGTTCTGGAGTTTTCAAGTAGTTGGTTTCTACAAACCTTGGAACCCAAGCTTTGTGTCACACTTTAAGCACTGAATCTCATATTTTCTAAGTTGTCGATGCATAAGAGTACAAATTAGTTTCTTCATCAAAAGCATTTTATGAGTCGTTTTTGTGTTTCAAACATTTTACAGGATCTTGTCAAAAATATATAAAATCTGCCCTACACATAAAACAATTTATAAAGTGTTTTATTAATAAAATTTATTTTGTTTTGAATTATTCACAATATATAAGAAATATAAGCATATATTTTGAAATATTAAACGAATACATTTATGTTTTATTCAGTTGAATTAAATGAAGAAAAGCACAAAGATCTAATAAAGAAAAAGGAGATGGAAATCTCAGAGTTAAATACAAAGTTAATAACTCAAGAAAAAGAAAAGCAAAATGAAATAATCAAACTACAGCTGGAGGTAGGTGTTTAAGAGTCTGATAAACTTGATACTGTACATTCCTTAGTCTGTATCATACTTTGTTTTTCATCACAATGAAATAAATTTCAGGACTAGAAACAATTGTGTGAGAGGACTTCACACAGTCCAATTCTTCATCGATGCAATGTTCAGTCACCAAATAGCAATCATGTGCACTGCCTTTTAATACTCCACCTGAGAGTAGAACTCCAGTTGTTCTGAAGGTCCTGGTTTCTGAGCAGGGTATTGTTTCCTGTGAGAACAGACTCAGATACTTCAGGAATTACCTGCATTTTATAGTCAAGAGTATGCAGGCTTCATAAGACAACCAGTGTTGCAGAGTGTTTAATCTTCAACATTACTCTCTCCCCCCAGCAGAAATTGGGGAACCCTCGTAAACCAACTAGTAATTTCTTCTGCTTTATTTGGAAGAAGAAGAGATAAACTTCTCCCTAATAAATTTCTGGAAAAATATGTATTGTGGGGCAAACAAACCAAATTTCTAAAATAATTTTTAAAAAGAAAAAATTAAAAGGACTTCAAATGGGGGAATCTCATAGGTTGAGGCAGTAGCTATTTGTTCTAAAGCCTTTTCAATAGGTTAAGAAGGTGTCAGAATCTCAAAGATATTGATATTTTTGTAAAATGCTTGTTCTGTAATTTTTTTACTAGATTTTAACAAACTCCCTTTCCATTTTTCTTTCACGGCTTCTCGACTGTCACTTTACCTTGTCTTATAAAATTCACAGGTCTTACTTAAGATAACTATTTATTTTCCAGAAAGTTTGCTATTCCTGGAGTGCTTGATGAGGTATCATGTGTAATCATTGGGCATTGTACCCACAAACTACAGAGGGGGCTAGATGGCCAGATGAAATACAATAGGTCTTATTTCAAGATCTACTACTGAGTCCTACCGATTGGGAATTTGCACTTTGTTATATGGGCTTTGTCACTGGTCTAGCCCAAGTCTGTTATTTGATATACAGAACTCTGTTGTTTGTCTTCATTAAAACTATCCATTTCTTTTGTTAAACTAGAACACAATCTCCTATAGAGTTTATTCTTAGTCCTGAGAGAGAATACACTAAACTAAATCTGAAGGCATGAATTTTATTGACATATTGTACAAGAATAATTGCTTGTAAGAATGGCCTTTGAAAAATTAAGAACCAAGATACATCATGTAAAGGTACAAGATCCCAAAGATGAATGTAACTGTATTGTATACCTAAAATGTACCAATAAACTTAATGGAAAAAAATAAATTGCTATAATTAACAAAAAAAAAAAGAATGGCCTTTGAACATTTTTTAATTCAGCTGAATTCAAACCAGGAAAAATTCAAACTAAATCAACCAAATTATACTATTCAGACTCAAAGTTTCTACAAAAGGCTATGTGAGTTTTTCTCCTATGATGGTTGATTATATACTACATTTTCTTGACAAAAGTACAGTCTGAACAATGTGAAAATATTTTTATCTATCTTTAAGTTAAACTAGATCCTCAACCCTGGCTGCATGATAGAATCATCTGTTTTGAGAAAAAAGATGCTAGACATCCCCCAGTGTTCCTAAGATGCCCAGGCTTTGGGCACTTTTTTTAAAGTTCTCCAGGTAATTTTAACATGCAATCAGGTTTAATCTTGTTTGGATGTTCTTTGCTCTTTCTTGAAAATGGTTTCTTAATGATTTTTCTATCTGTTATATAAAAAATACACTTATAGAGTGTACATGAAAGGATATCATGGATTATACTAGATTTATAGAAGCATTTCTAGTTGTTGAACCAGAATGTTCTAACTATCTTTTTAAATTTGGTTCAGTTTGATGCCAAACTAGCAAGAGTTCAGACTAAGTCAAAACCATATCCAGATGCTACTATTTCCCCACAGAGTATCTACAGAAGGGTATGTGAGCTTTAATATTATTATTACTTAAGAAAATATATTTTCTTACTGTGTTTCTATAAAAATTCTTATGCTTATTAATAATATATGTAGGTTTTGTTTTGGGGTCCTTATTCCAGTTTCACCCCATTAAGTCGCACAAAACTAAAATTATAGACTTTTCAAAAGAAAAGTAATTTAGCTTGGCATGCTGGCTGGTGGCACATGCCTATAATCTCAGCACTTGGGAAGCTGAGGCAGGAGGATCACTTTGAGTTCAAGGCCAGCCTGAATCACATAATGAAAACTTGTCTCAAAAAAAAATCAAAAAATAAAAATAAGGTATCTTTTTAAATATATGCTTAAACCCTATGTGTAATTTTTAATTGTTGTTCCTTGTACTTAGTTTTATTATTTATGAATTTCAATAACAAATTCTTTTCTGTTACATTTAGAAGCTTCAACATCTTCAAGAAGAAAAAAACAAAGAGATTGCAGCTCTTCGTAATACCATTCACAATTTGGAGCAGCGCCTTTCTATTGGCAAAGATTCTCACCTTAAACGTAGACGATTTTGAATATAGCAGTAAATTCATTAATTACTATTTACTTTTTTTAAAAGCAATTGAAAAATTCACTTCCATTTTCAATATAAGTATACTACCTAAATAGCCTAAATAATAAATGAGACAGCTTTAAACATTTTTATTATTGAGTTTATTTAGACAGATCCATACCTTGGCCAATCATCTACTACATTCTTGCTTAATGGTATTATCCACAAAGGAGTTCAAGTTTATAGGGTTTCGTTTACCTATTAAACCATCATTGACTATGGAAATACTCTCTAAGCAGTCTATAGACATTTCTTTTTTTCTTTCCCATTATAGCCATTCAAAATTCAGAAGTGTGACATAACGTTAGATAAAGAAAATAAGACACAAAGACTTTATTTAGGTATAATAGTAAAAATCAAGATATAAGACTTAGGTATAGAAAAATTAGAGGACAGTTAAAAATGTAGTCATTATTCTTTTTTAGCAAAATATTCATGTGTTAAGAAACAAAATTCACTTCTTTCTCTAAAGGTTTAATCAGTTTAAAAATGTAAGATTAAAAAGACAGAGATAATATGGTTTTGAGATAAGTAGAGAAAAAAATGGAAAGCATGTCTTTGTTGTTCTTCCTCCATTCTAAATTACTAAATATCCAACAGAAACCCCTAGGTCATAGTTTACGTTTCTGTTCTCATTAATGCAAACAGAATGCTGGAAAAAGCACAAGAAAGACATATTAACCAAAAGCTGCAATCACATTTCAGTTTCCCCATAATAAAAATGTAGTTTGAGTCAAAAATTTTATGACATAAAATTTAGAAGCCAATCTAGTAGATTCTCGATGTTTGCACAATCCAATTAATTTAATAATTAATTAGGTAGTTTATACAAATTTTGGAAATGAAATTCTGTCTAGACTCATTTGGGGAGTTTAACTTACTTTAAATATTTAGTTTGAAGGTCATTTTCACTTTTGTGCCCTATTGTTTCAGCTTCAATCACGGTTTGTTTCTGTGGGCTTCTGCTGCTGATTTATTTGTCAAGCAGCTGGAGGCAATCGACATTGACAAGATTCAATGACTTTCTCCCCTGCCCAGTCTCCCTGGCAGCTGCATAAAGATGGGAGGTTTTCTGCACACTGGCAGGTGACTGCAGACCCTCTTCTTCCAAATACCAGATGTCGACAATAGCAACAACAGCTACTAGGAGCTAATTGGGAATCTGTGGGAAACTTACACAGTAACTGGTTTTTACACCCCTTTTGGCAAAGTTTCCTTCTTACAAGTGAAAGCTGTAAAGCTTCACTTTCTGACATAAATCAGCTCTCTGAGTGACCCTGCCCCTGTTGGCCCTTGGGCATAAGCTCATGGTGGTGATGATGCCCTAGAGGAGAAAGCACAGGATTATCTGGTGCTTCTGGTTGCTTACTGTCAGAGAGTTCACTGCCCCCAAGATGCTGATGCCCATGCTTGTGATGTTGTTTATTATGTGGATGTGGAGCCTCAGCTGTTTTTTCCACAGTAGCCAAAGACACATTTTTACAGAAGTCTTCATCTTCAAGAGTCTGGAACAAATTTATAAACCACTTACCAATAAACTTATACATTTTGCAGGAATGCATGAGAAATCATTTATAGAGCTAACATACATGGTTTTCCAACTAGTTATTTAGGATAGAGCTGGCTTGTCCTTCTAGCATCATACTAATGAAAAGAGTCTGATGTTAGTCTCAACACCTAGACTTTTTATTAAAGGCTTAAAAATATAGCCAAACTACTGTATTTATCTACAGAAGCAAAACTAAGAAAATTGAATAAAAGAATTTAGATTGCAGTGAAGTCAACCTAGTATCAAATCATAAAGTCACTTGATCTACATGGAATCTTTCACACCTGTGGCAACAGTGTACGTATCTAATCTAGTACTGTTTCATCAAGCAAACTGGCTTCTCTCTGCTAACTCAAGAAACCCAATAAAACTGTTTAAATTGTTGGTGTCTCATACTTTGACATATGCCAGGAAATGTTTTGAACTCCACCAAAGCTTTGCTAATGCACCTACTACATTTTCATCTGGTGAAAGTAGCAAACTACTGCCCCTTTCTCACTGATCATAATCTTCCATTCTACACGCTACTAGTTTCTTAATTTACTGAAAGTCTTCATTGTTTTATGGTACCCACAAACACAAACTCAAGGCCTCTTGACATATCAACGTAATACTAAAACCTCAACCTAAAACCAGCAACCTAAAGTTGGTTTGTAAATAAATTACAAAATCAACGTGAGAACTCAAAGATTCACTAAATGGTATGGCTTAATATTTTGTGAAGGTTTTGAACAGTTATAAATTCCACTGGATTTTTAGCATACAGCTGCTAAGGAGTGTAGTTTTTTTGGTTATGAATTACTTCTAAATGAGAACATAGTATTTAATTTTAAGATTATAATAAGTAAATGTTCAAAGCTAGGCATGGTGGCATACACCTGTAATCCCAGCTGAGTAAAAAGAATCACAAGTTTAAAGCCTGCCTGAGCAACTTAGGGAGGCCCTGTCTCAAAAATAAAATAGGGCTACAAATGTAACTCACTGGTAGAGTACTTCCCTAGCATGTTGAAGGCCCTAAGTTCAATTCCCAGTATGGTAATCAGTCAATTGGCCAAGTATTCAGTTATTTAACACAAATAGCTATAGTAGCAGCTTAATTAATTTCATAAAACCTATTAACTGTTTTTCACTGATTCTGTTACACTATTCTATGGTACTATTTCTAACATGACAGTATATCTAAGCATATTCTGTGATACTATTTCTAATATTAGGGTATATTCTGCTATAATGGTGTTTTAGCATTATGTGTTATTTTAATTGTCAGAATTTTTCTTAATAGTACATTAGTGTGTTATAATTGATGGCATCTAGGAAACAATGAAATAGAAAAATCCCAATTTGATTTGACATATTAGATACACATAATATACTTATTTATAGGTAGTTCTTAAATTTTAAGCATATTATGGGAATTGTTTCTGCTTTTCTTCAATATAAGTAAGTATATTTAAAATTGCACAACACAGAAATAATCCTAAAATACGAGAGATTAGTACACCTGGTACTAATTTATTAAGTAGCTGGTATAGTTAGACACTTAGTACTTTATTTGCATTAAATAACCTTATTTGCATTACCTTATCTCCACAACTTTAACACCAGAAAATAACTCTCGTATCTCATTATGAAGATTAAAATGTGAAAAAATGACATAATTAACCTGTTCCACTTAATACCGACTAAATAAATTAAATGATTTGTTAAAATTTGAGGTGGCTTTCTTTAGAGCTAGGAAATATCTGAAAGTACTGGTCAAAAATGAAATTCAAAATTGTTTTTAAACGTGAATTCAAATTTGCCTGTCACCCTATTAAAGAAACGTAGTTTAGAATTATTTTCTTTTCAATATAAGGAAAAACACATCAAGTTTTAGAAATTAAAATCAACTGTTTGTCTTTTACTTAAACATTTAAATATAGTCTTCTCATAGCAAGGAATAAATATTTTATGGTTATTAGGAAAGAAATATTAATAGTAAGTAGAACACATTCCATTTTCAAATAAATGAAATAATTCAGATTGAAAAGTGGGAAGGTAGAGGGCTGCGGATTTAGCTCAGTGGTTCCTCCGCCTGCCTCGAAAGCACAAGGACCTAAGTTCAATCCCCGGTACCAAAAAGAAAAACACTCAAATCAAACGCTTGGAAATAACTTTGGTCTAGGGATTTAGTTCAGTGGTTCCAGCAAGTGCAAGGTCCTGAGTTCAATCCCCAGTACCAAAAAAAAAAAAAATTCAGACATCTTGTTTACCAAGAGAGTATGTAAAGGTGCATATCTCCAATGATGAATGTCATTATATTGTACACTTAAAATGTACCAATAAAAGGATATACAAAAAAATGGGGAGGTAGTATAAGGACTTCACAGAAAAGCTGGCTTATGTATCCTTAGTAAATTAAGTAGTTATCTGGCTTTAATTCCTTGACAAGTTGTGCCTCGGGTAAGCTTTGTTATCACTATGCTCTTCTGTGAGCATGTTCAGGTTACTACAATAATATCATTTTATGAGTTGACTAAGTTATTTGAGCATCTACTCATACAATATCATGTAGTGATGATCCAGATTGGTTTTTATTTTCTAAAACTCTTCTACATAAAGGCAGCAATATGGATCTTTAAAATGTTTTAAAGTACACATTCCATAACAGAAAATGTGTATATTTTTAAAAATTATTTAGTTGTAGTATAGCTAATCATGAAACACTAACTTATTTAAATAGCTCCTAAAATATCTCTTTTCTCCCAGTAAAAATAATTGAGAAAAATAGGGTACCCTGAGAGAGCAATTTCCACATTTTTCTTCACAGTACGCAATCTTAATGGCTTCTTCTACATACGGGAAACTTAGGAAGGAGTAAGGCAGACCAAGATGATAGACAAGACGACCACATCTGAAAAAAAAGGGTGGGGGGAGGACAAATACAATATTATCCAGTATTTCTGTATTACTTATATGTGGTTTGGGATAGGTATTATTAGCACTTAGGTTCACTGGTCTTACAACTAAGACCCTTTCACATCTTCAGTAAATTTCCTTGGGTGCAATCCACAAAGGAACTCCCAGGAACTGTGTACTAGATCAGATCACAGCAAGACTGTAATGAGTCTGATATTAGCATTTTGAAATATAGATGTGTCACTAAATAAAAAATAGTCAATCAAATACAATTTTGCAATTGACGTATAAATTTTTCCACATCCTAACTCACACTGACAAATTAAGCTCTGGAAACCACACGAGCTTTTCATAACTACTAAGACAGCACAAATTCCACAAAATAAAGAGATTATACCATACCAAAAAGATCCCCAAGCTTTGGCCAGTAGCTCGTTTATTTAAAAATAGATCTGATGCAACAAAAATGTCAGCATAAGAAAACTGGAATTATAACACCGGACATCCTGAGAAATGGTAGGGTTGAAATTTCCTTGTCCATATTTTATCCAGTGTATAAGACTCTATGCAAATATCAAAGTGCTAGACTTTACAAATGACTAACTTAGCAGTTCAGAGGCCTGAAAGAGTGAAACGTAGTATTAAAAAGATGCTTAGGGCTAATCAAGATCTGGCCCACCACTCTGAAGAGGTAGAAAAAAACAAATCACTATGAATATTTTCATGGCAGATTGCTATGGCTTGTGTCTAGATGTCTCCCTAAAGCCCCATGTGGTTGTAGGGTGTGGCTGTTCAGAGGTAGCTTGATCTAGAGTGTATGATGCTGGGATTAAGTATGTGATGCTATGATCGAGGGTGTATGATTATTAAATTAGTCCACTGATTGGTTTGGCATAGTTCTGGGAGTGGATAATAAGAAGGCCCTCCTTGGGCCTGGATACAACATAAGGGACAGAAAGAGGGCTTCTGTGGTCACTTCTTGCTTGCTATTTCACTGCTTTGCTACCTTCTGCCTGCCATGAACTGTTTCTCCTCTGCGATTCTTGTCTGCCATGCCATCCTGCCTTGGAGCTAGCTGATTATAGACTGAAACCTCTGCAAAATGTGAGCTAAAATAAACCTTTCCTCTTTTAACTTTGGGTGTCAGATATTTTGTCTCAGCAATCAGGAAAGTAACTAAGACACAAATAATCTATACATTGGGCTGGGGATTTAGCTCAGTGGTTCCACTGCCTGCCTCTCAAGAGCAAGGTCCCGAGTTCGATCCCTGGTACCAAATAATAATAATAATAATAATTTATATATCAAACTTCTCTCAAAATACGAATATTTTATTCATGGAATCAAAAACAGATTCATGCAGATCACGCTTAAATGATGAACACACTTTATAGTTTAGAAATGCAAGTATTTAGCCTTCAAGTTATAAGTTAAACATAACAAATATTGTCTTAAAGTGAAGTTATTCACCTAAACAACATTTAGATTAGAATTGTACATGAAGTACAAATGGATCTTTCTATTTATGTAACCAGAATGCCAATTTACCTGGTGGGAGAGAGATGTATACTCAATGTTCTTTACCTATTGGAATGGTGAACTGTTTTAAATAACTTACCTTTAAGAAAGTCATTTTAAAGCTTTAGAAACCAAACCCTTTAATGAACTTATTTTTGAAACTGAGTATTTGGTAATAAAACAAAAACAAATGTCTTATTTTAAATCCTTTATTATTAAATACAAAGCAGAAAAGAAACAACTAAGGAAGTTGTTGCAAAATTCTAGAGGAGAGGTAATAGGAAAATAAGATAGTGATTATAAAGACAAGATGGCTATACTGAAGATTTAAAATCCATTGAATTTGGTGACTGAACCAACATTGAAGGTATGATAGGAGTCAAGTAACACATATCTGTTACACAGCATTTAAAGGACAGATGGCAGCAAAGTTACCACATATGGTCTGTGATGTCCGCAACAGAAACTGACTGGTGACAGGAGGGTGGAAGACACTGATGAGTATTATACTGCTACTACTACTACTTGGCTGCGTCTTTCCCCTAAAAGAATTGCTTTATATAACACAAAGGGTAATGTAGAATACAACTGTGGAAGATAATGGGTTAAGATTTGAATAACTGAATTTAAGATGTTCGTGAATTTATCTGTGAAGTGGATATCAAGTCTAGAGCTCAGTCATTGTGTTTGAGCTTTGAATTTAGGATTATCAAAACAAATTATACTTGTAATCAAGGAATAGATGAGATTGCTCATGTAGAATATGCAGTGTGAAGAGAAGGAAACTAAGTGGTCTTAATAATACAAATATATAGGGAATAAACTAGAAGGATGTAGAAGGAACAATGAGGAGAAAGAAAAGGAAACATGTAGGAAAAAACAGCAGAATAGAGGGTCATAGAAATCAAAAGATGAAAGTGTCTTTTAAAACTAGTTTTTTTCTCTTTTCCAATTTTTATTTTTCATTAGTACATGTTTGCAGTACATAATGATTATATTCCTTGTGGGGAATTGATACATGCACATAACAGATTAATTCTTTTTCCAACTCCTAGTTATTACTTCTAAATGTTAATGAGGGATTATATGAGAAGAGAAGTGAAATATGGCATTATCTTTAACAATGAAGCAGATTTATATATAATGAAAGTAAATAAATACAACATAGGTATCTTAATTTGAGAGAGGATGGATACATACCTGTCATAGATGAGGAAGTCATCTTTATTTCCATTTAAGAGACTCCAGACATCTGTTTGGTGTTCTTCTTGTTGATAAACAGGTATATGGTCTGAAACCTGATTTTTAAGCTGTATGTATTTTAACCGAGAATTACTTCCTTGATGATTAACAATAACAAAGGAAATATTAGAATAGCCTTCTTTCTCCAATTTTACTCGCAGGTCTTCAAATCTAAGATATTTGGGGAAAAAATGCATAAGATGAATAATCTCATTTAATTTGACTAGAGGTCTTTTCTCTCTTCCCTCACATTCTTTTTTCACCCCTGTGAAACTCTCATTATTTTTGACTGACCTGTATTTGTTCTTTACATTGTTATAAGATTCTGAAACTCTCATTTTTTAGAATTATTTAAAATTTTTTCTGTTGAAAGATTATGCTAAATGCTTCCACAAACATTAACTAATTTAGTCCTCAAATTAATCTTATGAAGTGTATATTTTTGAAATTCATCTTATAGAGAATTCAACCAATGATGAAAATTTGGTGAATAATCCAAAAAGTATTTTGGATATATGTTTATTAAATGACCCAAGACCTTTGATAGCAAGCCTAGTTTGCATATTACTCAGACAAAACATTCTTCTTATACTGACATAACTGCCAAATTTGCAGGCGTTCAACTTAAAATATTTTCATTACACAAGTAATATAGATTAGTAGGAATTTTTAAATATAGGTCCACAAAAGAAAAAATGGTCATAAACACAGGAAAGCAACCATAAACATTTTAGTATCTATTTCCGGGTCTTCTCTAATTTATTCTATTCAAATACATACAGTTTTTCCAAAAATATGATTTAACAAGTATGTTGTTTCCATTTTTAGTTTATGTACATATATATGTATGAATGTACATATTTAACAGCTTTTCCTCAAATATATCCTAAACCACAAAAGGTCTGTCTTACCTGGATGCCTGCAGAATGCACAGATATCAGCTGGCTTGAAGCAGAGCAACCACAGTTACTGTACCAGTGGCGTTCAGCATGGGATTTTGACCTCTTATGCTCCATGCTGGGGGTTGCTTACAAAAGGAGCTCTGGCTCTGGCTCCCTGCTCCTCCACCAGGGAGGAGACAGAGAACCAGGGCAAGCCCCAGACTTCGCCACATTCCTGCGGTTGTCCTGGAAAAGAAAAAACAGGTAGTCTTCTTCCCAGTCATAACTATGAATTTCTATAACTCAGCAGATAATAATTCTACTTCTTATAATATGTAGTCCTTGGATTCTGACTCCATTTTGTTGGGCTCATTATGCCATTGTAATGAGCACTAAATCTTCTTATAAAGAGGAAGTTATCAGGTAGAGGCAGGAAAGTTGTCAAAGCATCAACTCTCTGGCTTAGCAAGACACTGTAGTAAGCACGCTATGAAAACTTGCCTTATCAGGCACCCAAGTGCTTCACCAGAAGGTACATATTTTTTTAAATGTTCAGACTGCTGTTTATATTGACACATAACATTCTATAAACACAGTCTGACTTTCACTGGAGATGTACCAAGTTCTGACTGTTTCTTCCTGACCTTTCAGTCTAAGGAACTGGAAGTAGGAAATTCTTCACAGAAAGATCTGAAGAGCTGGCCATGAGGGCAGTGTACCAACACGAATGCTGCTTATGTTGGGCCTTTAGCTCTTCAAGCTCAAACTTTCCACATGAATAAATACCTTGGATATGGCTCCTTTTTGTTTATTTCTTAAGGCTTAGCTGCATGTTAATATTATAGGAATTTAACCTCTCAAAATATAAGATTATCTGCCATATCATTACTACCACACCCATGATAATATCATCAAGGTGGGGGAGAACCTGACCAGGAATCACAAATCATTGCTCCTTATATTGCTCCTTAAGGCTCACTAAATCTATACTCAATTAGCCTATTATGGGCTGCTACTATTTTCAGGAAGCTCCGGAACTAGACAGTATATTCAGGCATAAAGATGCCCCCTCTGAGCAGAGAAGTTAAAATATTGACTACCTGACCAGAAATATCCCTCAAACTTCGGCCAGCTCTCTCAGCAGAACGGTATTTTAAAAAAAAAAAAAAAAAAAAAAAAATGAATTTAAAGAGGTGATGATAAAAGGGACACATTCAGCAGAGATGAGTTTAGAAAAATTCCACACAGGTAATTCAGGCTCATTTTAATGTAAGAGTCTGGGAAAGAGAATCAGGGCAAAATTCCAAAACTAGGAAGTCAATACATTTTTAGGCATTGATCTGATAGTTTTAAAAAGCAAAAGCCTTTCGTTGGATGGGAGTTGCTAACATTCAGTTACCTGTAATGAGCCCAGAATTAAAAGATGAGTAAAAAGCTAAGACCAGACTAATCTAGCCTCTGTACCAGTGGATATAATTTTCTTTAAATCTGATCATCTTTCATGTTATTCAACAACTCAAAATACCTACTTATAGAAGATATTTGATAACTGCCTAACCCAAAAGAAAAAAAGGAAATGAGGAAGGGAAGAAGAGAGAGAGGGAGAGGAAGAGGGTCCATCTCAACTGTTTTAATATTTTTAAATTTGTAATATTTAGGTCTGGAAATGTAGTTCAGTGGTAGAGTGCTTGCCTAGGTTGGACAAGGCCTTAAGCTTGATTCCCAGCTTAATGAAAAACTCTAATAATGTTTTATTAGAAAAATCAAATACTTTTTTATTTTAAATTTTTTTAATTAAATTTTTTAGATTTTTGTACTAAATCTGGGAAATTTCTTTAGGAGGATATTTACACTGATAACACAATTGTCCTTATTGTAGTTATTGTTTATTGAGCATTTATAGAACTCTATAAGGAGCGCTAAGCCGTTTGTTAATACCCCTTTTCTTTCCTTTTTGAGGATGCTATGGCTAAGGGAGAGTTAAAACATCTTGTCTATGATCACATACGGAGTAAATCACAGAAAAATTGGATTCAAATCAATTCTGTCAAATCCAAAACAACATCTCAGCTACTGCAACATATTGATAGTTTTTAAATAGATCACTTCCTAATGACTGTAGTAGCCAACTTTGTTTATGCTCTAAGATGGCAGAGAGAACATCAGAATAATGTAAGCTGCTTTATTTCTTACTTCAATGTCTATTTTCTGAAATATAAATTTACACAAGGTCTTGGATTTGATCTCTTTCACTGCAAAAATTAACTCAGTAGTTACACAACCTTCATCATAAAGACAGCAATTAATATTCTAACTTTGCCATGAGGACATCGTTTCAGGTGGCTAAAGGACAGATATCAATTAGGTTTCTACTGAAAAAATAAGCCATTGGCAGAAGGTAGTGAATTAAAGAATTCATGATCTCAGATTTTCCTCTGCCATTGTAATCAATAGGCTCTTCAACTTTATTTACTCAAAGTAATTGTTATATAATAAGCTTTTGGTTTTAACTATAGCTGTCAAACAGCTATATAAAAATAAGGAGGATAAATAACAAAATTGGATTTACTAGAAACTGATTCAGTAACAACTGCAAAGTAGTTGTAACTTTCACTAATCCCATAGCTTTCCAATTACAAAACCTAGATTAGTTGGCCACATACAGACCTACGTTTGTTTAAAATTCCCCACTAAAATGCAGGCTATGCAGAGACTTTATTCTCTCTCCTCTTCTCTTCTCTTCTGTTCTCTCCTCTCCTCCCCTCTCCTCCTCCCCTCTTCTCCTCTCTCCCTCCCTCTCTCTCCCTCTCTCTCTCTCTCTCAGCTTCAAGCCTGCATCTGAAAGCCCCTCTTGTTTCCCTGAAAGCTCCCATTCTGCACTTAAATTGAAAATTTTTCTATTTAATCATGGACCACCCCATTGCGACATGGATTTTCATTCCCTTGAAGGCACTGTGGGCACAGCCTGCTTCACAATATCCCTACAAATTTCCACACCAAAAAAGTACAAGCATATTTCAGTCTCCGCTCTACAAATCCACTAGGCTCTTTTTTTCCCTGTTTGTTCTCACTCTGCCGTTCAGAGGGAAGTACTTAAATGTGATCAAATAACATTGCCTAACTGCAGAAAGTGCTAGATCCCCCCAGCCCCCACCCTCTGCTCAGCTGTGCTGAAGGCAGGACAAGTATCAAGAAGAAAGTCAGATGTGCCCACCAAGAACTTCACCCACCACACCTGAGCTCTGAGTCTTCTTTTCTTTTCCTTATTATTTTTATTTCCTTCACCCACCTATTTCTAAGTCTATTCAAAGGGTAAAATAACTTTGATCACAGTCAAAAAATATTTACCAAACTCTAAAAGAATAAACAATTGGAAAACAAAATCCCTACTTACCCGCTTCGGACCAGCCTGCTTCCTTTCTCTTTGCTTTGCTGGGGCTGCTCCACAAAGCCACAGAGAGAAACTCTGATATTTATAGTCCTGTTGTTTACCTCACCCTTCAGCTATAGTCCAGACTCCAATGCTATCTCTTGCAGTGTCCTTGCAAGCAGAGTGAACCTCTGGATTGTGATTGTTGTTAAGTTCAAAGAAAGCAGCAAGTCCTGCCATGCATAAAGTGGGGGGAAACATTTCAACAATTATAAATCCATTCCCTATGGTTTTCAGTCACCCCAGTATCTAGGATTTAATGGTACAGTCGGAGGCGGGAGGAAGTTCAAAGGGCCTCCAAGTCCTGCTCTTTTCCAAAATATAATAGGGAAAAAACATTTGCTGAGCCAGCAAGTTATCCTGGTGTATTTTCTTTTAATCTGTTTTTCCTTTTCCTTTGCGGTGATAAAGTTAATGCTAGCCTCACGAACACTGTGACCTTTGTTAGAGAAGTCATCTGTTGTTTCAAATTATTCTGGTGTCTCATGTTACAGAATAGTGTCCATTGTTTTTCTGTGTTTGAAACTGGAATTCCTATGAGATCTCACAGGACAGCTCCTCTTTTCTTTTTCATTTAAAGAAAGGATAAAATAAAAAAAAATAGCTTCCTCTCTGAAGGAAACTAAGCTTCATTTTAATTGTTTTAGAAGTCCTACTTCCTACCAGACCTATCTACCCCATGGATTATTAAATAATCTAATATAAAATCTTTACAAATGTAAGTATCCTACAAATAAAAGTTGGTGATAGCTCTTGATAGGCATGAAACAAGTATAGAAATTTCAAAGTGTACAGATAAAATAGAAAATTCCAGAAGAAGGAAGCTGTGCATGGTAACACACACCTACAATCCCAGCACTCGGGGAGCTGAGGGAGGAGGATTGCCATGAGTTCAAGGCTAGCCTGGACTACATAGTGACCCCCTGTATCAAACCCCATCCCTCGAAAAGGAGGAAAATTATTTCCTATAACCCTTGCAAAGTGGCACACTCTTGAGGAGAGCTAAGGAACAGTCTTCCTCAAACCTCACATATGCACATTTTCTGTGTCCTGATGGAAAAATCCCAGAGTGCCTTGACTGCTCTGGATCCAGCCAGCTGCAGGGTTTTCTCCACACGCTTGAACTCAAGCCCAGGCCTTGAAAATTCTCAGGCACTAATAAAAGTATTTAGTTTGTTGCCCAAAACACTGAAAGAAACTGGCCAGGGCCCTGAGCCAAACGTCCTTGGACTGCTTACCCTGATCCTCTTGCTGCACACATACCAAGGTAGAACATCCCAAACTTTTCTCTGCCGCAAGGATATGTGGCAGCACTAATAGCCCTTACTGCTTCTTTCTTTGGGATCTGTACCAGCACCACCTGTGGACAGCTTCAGGCACTCGTGGGAGCTCCTCCGTCACTCACTGCTTTGGGAGTGACTCCACCTGTGGAGTCACAGTTCAAAACAGTAATAGATGAGGTCATCCTGGATACTTAGATTTTCAAGTAAGCCTTGCTTTTATCCAGACAAACCCTTATTGATTGCCATGTGCTGGATATTGCTGTATGAGGTGAAGAAAATACAAAGCAGCCCAGGTGTTATCCTTCCTATAAAGAAACTTCACATCAAATTAGAAATCACTTGAAAGCCAAATTCCGTTTACTTGCACCAAGCAGCAGATATTAACCTTTTCAGTTATCAGATATCTTTAAGAGTTTCTGGGAGTGGGGATGCACATATACATATTGGCTTTTTAAAACAATCTCATGAAAAAAATCTTTGTACAGAGCAAGTAGTCTTCTCAGTAGTTCATTTCCTTAGCAAATTTAAATAGTCATTTTAGTCTGTCTACAAGAGGAAAGCATGTATTTCACTGTCTGCTCCTTTGCCAAGTATGCAACTCGCTCCAAAGCCAAGTACCTAGAAGTGTGTGTTCACCTCAGTCTATGCTAACACCCCCAAAAGGCAAAGGAGAAGATAAAACCTTGTAATGTTTGAAAGCAATTCATTCTTAGCTTCTTCTGCACTGTGCAACCTGGGATCACTCGTCACTTTCAAGAAAGCAGAGTTTCCAAGGTAACACTGGATGTTTAATTAAATTACATTAAATCAAAAAAAATGCTTTTGGCTGCTTATGCAAGGCACGATGCTAAATTTTAGGTCTACTGAGATTAAAAAATAAAGAATTTTTTAGAGCCAGGTGTGGTGGTACACGCCTGTAATCCCAGCACTTGGCAGCCTGAGGCAGGAGGATTGCCACAAGTTCAAGGCCAGCCTGGGCTACACAGTGAGTTTGGAGCCAGCTTGAACTACAAAGGAAGACCCTGCCTCAAAAAACAAAAAACAAAAAAAACAAAAAAGGAGAAGAATTTTTTAAAACTCTATATCCTTTGTTCTCACAATCTAAAAAATAGACAATAAGCAGGAAAATAAAAGACTAAAGTATCTTACTAACAGGTTACTCTAGCCATTAGAACACAATCAAACATTACGATTACTGAGAGCAACTAATGACTGTCAAGTTTAATTTTGTTCTAATGAGCTCATCTCTTAAAATTACTGTCCCTAAAGTCACGATTATAGCTTTCATACTGTAAGCTCATTGTGTGCCCTAAACATTTGTTGCAGAATGTTTATACATGTTTTTAGCCCATGTTTTAAATAAGCATTTATGAGCAGTAGATGATTTCGATGGAGAATAAGACCCAGAGTGTCTGTGAGTTCATGATAAAAGGAAGAACCCCCATAAATCATGATTATTTTAATCAGTTTATTAGCTAAGGCAGATGATAATATGACATAGATCCATTAATTAACATTTGTGAAACACTGATGTCTCAAAATGTTAGAAAGGGAGAATGCTATTAATATATGAAGTACTAGCCTCTTTGGTTTAAGTGGTATATTACATAATATACAAAGGGAAATGAAAACATTCCCAACATTTTTTTTCCTTACATGACCTTTTCCTCCCCTTGCATGTATAAAAGGTAGCCCTAAATGTCAGCCTATGGCTAGTATCAAATATAATATTGCTTGAGTATCTCTATTGAAAGATTAGTAAGCCACTGAATCTGCAAGGGAGGTTTAGAAAAAAAAGCAAGATATTTTTTAAATGAATGAGATAAATGAGAACAATGGCCAGAGGAAGGCTTGGGAACAGCAGGTTGGATTAGATAAGACCTAATTGGATCTTTTGAGATTCAGATGAGGTTGAAATGTACTTTGAAGGGAGCTTTTCTTCAAGCTCACAAGTTTACAGATCAGAGAACCATTTGATATATCAAACATAAATGCAATTAGGGAAGTGACTTCATACAGTGCCAAATTTCATTTGCTCTGAGCACTTTCGAAAATAAACATCAAAAACATTTTGCTTGAAAAAAGACGTTAAAATTTTTAAAAATAAAACAAAAACTTAACCAAACGAAAGCTATTGACTGCAGCTGTTCATGAGATGTCAGCATCATCATGTAAGAAGCATGTAGGGGGATTAAAGAGCTTCAAAACAGCATTAACTCCTTGAATGAGAAACACTCATGTAAGATAAGGTCAGGGAGTTTGGACTTAGAAGAATGACACAGAATCCACATCTGGTCAAACACCTGGACTGGCATTGTTGACAGCAGTTGTCTCTTTAGCTGCTCAACAGGGTAGGTGAGAAGGGCCAGAGAGCCTGCAGGACAGGCACTGGGGATACCGTGGGGGTCTGAATCACAATGGTGGAGATCACTGACCACTTTGACACAAATTGTTGATTCTTAATAAACATTTGGTAAAAGAATAGGTAAATAAATGGTGGATTTTTCTGAGATTTAAGAACTGAGAAGTTTGGATTTTCAAATTATGAAAGCCTTTGTGACCCAAAGAACAAGACAATTTAGTAAAGTAAATCATTTGCTGATCTCTGTCTTGAAATTATTTTGATCATGGACATTGTCCATAGAGTTGCCAATAAAACTCAAGTGAATATTCATGTCCTCAAATATCATACAATGGATGGTTTCTCTTATTGCTTATCATAACTAATATTGCCCTATACCAGTTGCTAAAAACTATTCCTATTTCCCTTAAAATGTAGAAAGCTTTCTTTTGTGTTTATATGTTATGCAGTTTTCAAAGAGGCCAGGTTTTAAATAGCTGACATGCTGTTTCCAGAACCACTAGTCTCATCTCAATTAAATGGATATTTCCAATTTAATTTTCTAGTAGTCTTAATCTGCTACTTTATTTTGAAGGTGTGTATACTACCAGAATATTCCAGGACTTGTGTTGATGGTATCTCAAATCTTAAGAGTGTTTTGGTAGAACCTCTATGCAAATCTTAAGAGTTTTCTGATTGAATAACCAATTAAATGTAATCATTTTTGACAAAGTAGCTTTACATAATGCTCATCAAAAATAATTCAACTTTTCAAAACAAAGAAATATGATCTTAATTTGTTTGCAGAATTTCTGGGAGTCTGAAATTAAGATGTTGGCAAGGTTGGTTTCTTCTGAGCTTTCTTTCTTTGACTTAACAAATGACTATTCTCTTTGAAAAGTAATTCCATAATAACTATTAAAGGAAGTTTTGCCCTTTTAGCTTAATCCTGAAACATATTTGTGCAGGGTTATCTAATCATTGAGGTTTATATCCTAATTTTTTAAAAACAACTATAAAAAAGAGTATGTATTTGTGTGTGCGTGTGTGTTTGTACACACATGTGCATTAGAACCCTAGACACTGTAGTGTAACTCCAGAGTGACAACAAACAGAACACAAGCACTTGAAAAAAAGATTAGAAAGACACATTAGCAACTGCCAGTGGTTTTCCTTCAGTATAAGAATAATTTTTAGTTGCTCTTTGTGTTTTTCTGCTTCTTCTAGAAAGTCTTGAACAGTAACTGCTGTGTATGTGTGCTTACTCTGTGGTGGTCACTATTTTAAGTCTTTTATAGGTAACAGCACACATAATCCTCACTACAGCCATTGACTTTGTTTCATTAATGAGAAAACAAGCACAGAAATGTTGAATAACTTGCCCCAGATTCAAAGCTAGAAAGCAGAGAAACTACATTCAAACTCAACACATCCAGTGTTCAAGAATTTAACTGCTGGGCCGGGGATTTAGCTCAGTGGTTTCACCACCTGCCCTGCAAGCGCAAGGACCAGAGTTCGATCCCCGGTACCAAAAAAAAGAGTTTAAC